CACTACTTGCTTAGCCAGCACTGTCCTCACCCCTGCACCTGCTGGGCCTTGCGACGCTCATACTCCTGATGTACAAAATAAGTAGATTCACGTGTAAACAAAACTCAGGCTTTCGATCACCCAAGTTCATTACAGATCTTGGATCTGCAGAGGTGAAAGTCTCATGTAGTATCCCAGCATGTTTCTCAGCCTCCCCAGACGGGTTAATTTTAAAGTGATCATTTAGCACTAACCTGGGAACGCATGACAGCCGTCAAAATCAAAACAATCTGTTAAGGCAGGTGGGAAATGAAACCAGCCCTAATGGCAATAATGATTTTCTGTGAAGGCCCCAGGCTTCATTTTGTCTCTGATAGCAATATAATCTTTTATAGCATCTGTGAAGTTTCCTAATAAATAAACAGTCCTTGTTGCTAGTGGTTGAAGATGCAGTACGGGTGCATTATGAAAGTGCACTGACAGACTGTTGGGTTCCAATTCAAGACCTCTTGTCAAGATCATTTTACAAGATATTTCAAAGGAGTATACAAGAAATAAAAAAAGCCGTGTAGCTGCAGCAAGGATTTGGTAATAGATTCCCTCTCTGTCTGGGACTTGTTAGGTTTATAAGCTGCATCAGTTTTCATCATTCTTTCAGCTCTGTCATTAGCAGTGCTTGCAAACGTGTCCTCAGCTTGGCTAGTGGGGAGGGAATGAGGGAAGGTGAGTATGAAAGAAGTAGGAGAGAAAGAGCAGCTCCTCCAGAGTATTTTCCATAGTTCCGGTTGCTCACCCCTTATTCTGTCTCAGTTGTTTTTCCAAATCTGGAAATTAAAATAAGGAAGAGAGGAGGGAGATGGATTCTTCACCGGATAAAAAAATGGAGAGAACTTCTCTTGTCTCCTAGCTGAGTATTTTTAGAAGTTCCCATTTCTGTTTAATTTTCTATGGGAAGGAAACGGCACATTTCCCTGCAGCTCACATCTAACATGACAAAGGAAGCAAAAATAAGAAAGCAATGGACAGAGTTAAAATACCTGTTTGATTATCAAAAAGTTAAACTGCAGTAGGAAATTCTTCCTGCCTGCCGTGCTGTACACACACTGGTGATGCCTTTTACCCACCTGGATCATCAACATTTAGTTATACTCAAAAAAATGCCCATGAATTGTTCTTCTCTAGACACAAATGCATTGATATATGGGATTTTAAACCAGATCAGAGTAACTTCATCAAGTCTCACAGCAGTTGGTGGCAGAGATGGGAAAACAATACTCTGGGTCTGTTTTTACTTTCTTGTACATCACAACTCATCCTTCACACTCCACCCTGTAGAGTTTCTGTTGTGAAGGAGACAATATCACATTTTATCCCCATACTATTTTTTCTAACATATTTTTACCTTACTGTCCATTTGCCATCCCTCCAGAGCCCACACCAGTCAGATATGGGGTACCGAATTATTGCCTTCCCTTTTCCAGTGATGAGTATGGCAAGGTATGTTATTGTGTAATGCAAACAGCGTGGCAGATTCCCTCTGTAGGGTTTATTCACTGCCTTGTCACACGGCTGTGAATAATGAGTTCCTGCCCTTCTATACTATCCACACAGAACACTCAGAAATCTTTAGCTGTTTTGTACTAGGGACTTCCTGATCCCATGGTGACAGCAGAACTGTAGCTGACAGCAATGAAGAGTAACTCCTTAAAAGTCATCTTAATGAAAAGTTATGAATAATCCTGTTAAATGAAGGACAAAAAAACTAATTTATCTTAAAATATTCAGAGCAGATGCATCATTTGAGCAAGAAACCAATGATGTGCCTGATTTAGAAATGTCATAACTTCAAAGAAACTGAGTCAGTAGTTCAGAATGAAACGACATGGTTTCTAAATCAAGGGAAGCAACTTTGCTTTCCCCAAAACAATTGGAAATACAAATTACATACACCTAAAAATAAATACTGTGAAGTAAAAACATGTGAAATAACTTAGAAATAAGTAGGGAAGGATATCCCTCCACAGATTTTCATCAGTTAGCCTTGTAACACAAACACTGTTTTCTTCAGCAGTCACACTGGCATTGTGGCGAGGACAGCCTTCTCCCTGTAGGCAGACCTTGGGAGATCCTTTGCCTGAGGTAATGCAGGAAACCAGCGAGCCTGCAATCTGCTTGTCAGGTACAAGCTCACTTTTTATCCATGGCAGCTCTGTTATGTTTGTACTAAAAATATGCATCTTTAGTAACACCGCACATCAGCTTAGACACAACACTAGGATTTACCTGTCTAAAACCAGACCTCCCGTTCATTTTAATAACTGAGAAAAAATGGTCTTTTCCTTCTGGTACTGTGAGCAGATGATAGCTGAATCTGCGGCCAGTGACAGAACATGAAGGAGCAGCACAAAGCTGCACCAGGGGAGGTTCAGACTGGATATGAGGAACAATTTCTTTACCACAAGGTGGTCAAACACCAGACCAGGCTTTTTAGAGAGGTGGTGGATGGCCCATGCCTGTCAGTGGTCAAGAGGCATTTAGGCAATGCCCTCAGTAATACGCTTTGACTTTTGGTTGGCCCTGGAGTGGTCAGGCAGTTGCACTCGGTGATCTCTGTCGTTCCTTCCAGCTGAACCATTATGAAGTTGTTTCTCACTGACACTGCCGTTAGAAACGTATTACTAGTGTTGAACCAGGGTCTTCTTATGTCCACCCTGACCATGCAGAGTGGACTATCTTCTACCTCTGTGCAGCAGTGTTTGGTAAGGACAGTTACCACATTCCCCCTCCATTTTCCTTTTTAATGTTCAACAACCCCAACTCAATGAGCCTGTAATTAATGACAGCCCCTGCCCCAAGCAGCTTGGTAGTGGGCCCGATCAGCCTGATGTCATTACTTCACCATGACAATTTTCTAACTAACTCCATGTGATATTCCATCTGTCTGACACTATTAAAATCTTTTTATATAGTCCATATTATTGTAGTTGCTGAGCTCCCCGCGAACATCACAGGGAGGGAGGGAAGTGCTGTTATCCCCATCAAGGCACAGACAGACCGTGACCTAACAAGATCACACATGGAGCCTTATCAGAGAATTAAAAGTAGGTCTCTAAAGTCCTTGGCCAGCTCTCCAGCTGTATGGGATGGTAACACAGAGAATCAAGATGCTCCTGACTTTGTAAGCAAATAAGTATGAAACTATATGTGAGAAGTACATTTTTTTTTTAACAAAATCTCACTTTATTTTTAATGAAGGCTAGATTATGTGCATGACACCCCAGGAAAAAAAGAAATTAAAAATACCACATTTTTTTGTTCCTTTTTCAAGTAATTTAATAACAGTGCAGTTACTCCTTGTTGATCAGGCAGAACTGACAAACCATTTAATCCTCCTGTGCCAAGTTTGAAATTAAGTTCTGTTGGTTAAGCGTTAAGTTAAAGCTCAAGCATATGGGAAAGGAACCTAAAGTTAGCTAAGTGGCCATTGGTTTTGTTTCCCAGAGCTTACTGTCATGTGATTTACTTTCTACTTAGTATTAAATAAGGTGTGTGCTAATGGATGGCCCACCAAAGACACGTCTTGCCCGGTTTGCAGTGAAAAGTAGCATCCCTGGTTTAGCTTTCAGACAACACAGTTAAGAGCACATAGACTAATCCATGCCTGTGAATGAATTTGGAATGAACTATGTTCACCAGTGCTGGTGATGGATGAGTAATGGTCTTTTGGGACTTTCAGAGTGTAACCATTCTGATCACAAAAGTACTACGAACAGTTCAATACTACTAAATCTGACTCTGCACTTCTTTACAAATGCAATGCAGTGAAGGGAGAGGAGAAATGCCTTTTACTTGAGATTTCACTTAGTCCCAGATTAACTCTTAAATCTTGGTTTATTTAAATCCCTGAACATTTTTCCTGTAAATGTGCACAGATTTTATTGTAAAATCTCTTCAAAGGTCATTTTAGAACATTCTGTGCAAATAAACAGAAAATAAAGGAAAAGGCATTGGAATTGCTGCCTATTTGAGACCTTAACAAAAGGTATGTTAGCTTAATTTGAGCCAGAGGAGCTGGATGGAGGTTGTGTTTAACCAGATATGCTGGCAAAAACATGCTTAAGAAGAGCCAGAACCACATGTGGCCACTCCACTTTAATTGTGCTTGTTTTAAAAGATATGTCTTTAACATTTACCCTATCCATTCTTGCTGTCTCTTTATGAACTGAAAATAAAAGCTCCCCAGGCAGTCATACTGAGACCTCAAACCTAAAATTCTTCAGCTGAGTCAAAAGCAAAACCTACGTTCAATCAGCCCCACACATTTTTTTGTAGCTGTAAGAAGATTTGATTTGTCTATCTCTTTTTTTTTTTCCCCCCCACGTCCCCAGGCCAGTCCTAACCCAGGGAGTGTTTTGATACTGAATGTAGCTCCTTGGTGAGGTCAAAGGCAGCAGTGACAGCAGTGCTACTGGTCTGAAGGCAGCCTGCTGTAATAAACTACGTAACCCAAAAGTACGCTCAGCAATAACAAAAGCATTAACTGCTGACCCACAGCTTGATGAAATTCAATCCCACCATTAGGCAAACATGAAAATGAGATCCCAAAGGAAGGAAGGAAGGTTCAGATGTTCAAGATGAGAGAAGTCGGGTGAGAAAGACAGATAGCTAGATGGAAGTTGCTGCAAACTAAGGAGAGAGAGAAAGAAGCTGCCAATTCAACATAGTAGGATCCTTTCATATCATGAATTTGAACTAAAAACAGTCAGGGGTTTTGCTCCAATTTGGAACAGTGCAAACTGAAATGCTTTGTAGTAAAGATATCCTTCTACCATTTTAGGGACATAGAATCATAGAATCATTTGAGTTGGAAGTGACCTTTAAAGATCATCTAGTCCAACTCCTGCACAATGAATGTGAACACTTACAGATAGATCAGGCTTAATCTATATAACTTAATCTATATAACTTGATTTCACAGAGCTTGCTACAGTTGTTCATGTTTTCAGAACTGCTTTAAGTTAGATGCTTGTGTTAGTATGTTGATGTCACTTGAAGGCTGGAATGTTCCAGGAACCTAATCGAGCTAAGCACCCAAATCTGACTTAATTTTCTCACGCATCATATGGTTACAGATCCCCACTAGTGTAACTGAGTGTATTTCAGTGAGAATCAAGTCAAACTCATGTCAAACTCATGAAACTTGAGACAATACATCATAATTCCTGTTTGTTTAAAAACCCAGCTTTGGGTCAGGATGCCATAAGAACCTCTATCTGCACTCTGCAGTCATCATTAGCAGAAAGTTGGATGTGGGGGTGCTGGCAGGACTGCACCTCAGTTGTTGTTATAGTGCATTGCTTTTTTTCCCAGAACACGCTCACTGCAGATGACCATTCTCCTGAAGACAGCTTTAGCCTGAATCCCGAGGACAGAAGAGAATACCCCGATCTCCAGGCTGCCCACCGGCCATTCCCTAAGCAACGATTCAGGCAGGAAAATGGGCATACATCCTTACAGAGAGATGGACCTAGATCTTTCCTTTTGGATCTCCCAAACTTCCCTGACCTGTCAAAAGCCGATATCAACGGGCAGAATCCCAACATTCAGGTACAAATTTATGCTAACCTGTGACATTTTATGAAGCTACACAAGATCATTTTACTGAATCAAGTGAACTTTCAGCTTGGCTTCTATGTGATGCAGTCAGTATACCCTGCCTCTCTACCAAAAAGAGATTGTATATACTCTTTGTTGTCAGTGAATGCATAGATTTCAGTTTTTTTCTGAATTTCTCTTTGGATATTGTTGATTGCAGAATGTAGGTATCAATGCAGACCTATCTGTGATACTAAAGTCATCTCTGCTTTTGCATTTTAGAATATATTCTCTTCTTTGATATTAAATGGGTATTTTCAATTCTGCTTTCAACTCTCCACTATAAAATTTGTTTATAAACAAATCTTTTGGTATGCTATTATAAAGTGCCACCATTAAATGTTATAAGAGAATACGTGTAGCAGAAATGCTAAGTCATGGCCTGCACCAGTGATTGAGCACCTGGTGGGAAGGCAGGGCCAACCCAGGGAAGCTGGTGAATGCAATGCAGCTGAGTGACTGGAAGGACTGGAACCAGGATCCACCCCTTCCCAGGCCTCATTTAAAGACTGGCACTGGAAGTAAGGGTATCTTGCTGGAGATCCCTACCTACTAGAGGTCTTCCAAAGGTAAGCAGTTTTTCTTTCTTTGTTTCTGCAGCTGCTGCATTTGGGTTTGTTCTCATTTGCTGCTGCCTAGGATTGTGCTAGTTCACTCTTACTGCTGTACTTTCCATCATGTTACAGCATTACAATAGGTCTTTAAGTTTCTTCTCAAAATGTGGTACTCTCTATAGAACTGTGCCTTAAGAGTCAATTTCTGCAGCAGCTGAAAAACTGTAAAAGAAAATCTGTCTGCAAGGAACTTTGTTATATGTTATTCCTCAAGCTATTCTTGGGTTTGGAATGGCCTCTTGCAAGCCATTTGCATCTTTAAAACTTCAAGGCTTAGAAAGAGGAAAAAATGAGTGATTTGTTTTTAATTCAGAACCTTAAAGCAAAATTGGCGTTAATAAGAAGTCTTTTTTAACCAAAACAATAAATTGAAATGTTGTTCCGCCTAAGATGTGCTTATAAAAACAATACGCTAATAGAACTAGTTTTCTGGCTAAATAAATTCCTGGCTTCTTGCAGTTCCCCAGCCCACAAAATTACCATTCCTTTTGATATGTCTAAGAAGTACATACATAAAGATATAATAGACCTATTCGTGAGAGAACAAGCTGTCTCAAAGTCAACACTCCATTACTTCATAGATGGCTCGCAACATTAAGAAGTCTGACCGATTTGGATCAAGTGCAGGTCCAATACTTGACAGGCCAAGGTAGTAAACACGTTCAACATGTGGTGCCTGTACACATCCTTCTAAAAAGCCTCAGGAAGGGAAGGTAGGGAAGCTATAAGGGCCCCAGATTGTGGGAGGAGGTAAACAGTGTAATATCACTGTTCCGACAGTATGTAAACCATGGAGGAGGGCAGGAGGAGACAAAAACCTTCTCTGATTCGTGACAGTGCTTTATGTTTGGACTTAGGGAATGGATAAATGACTGGAGGATGGAAACATTTCCCTGGCTTGTCTTTACAGTAACTGCTTCTGCTATGACCTCTTTTTCCACCACCTGATGCTGGAAATGTGTCGGCCAGCTAAGTCAGCAGTTTTGCTGGACTCTGAGAACTGGAAACCCTTTTCCTGTAGACTGGAAAACATTGGGCAACATTAATCCCAGAGCTTTTTCTTACGTGTAAGGATCAATTCTTTCAGAAATAGGCTGCCTATGTTCTGTATTATAATTAGCTTATTCAGGTGCATAAGTAGGGATGTGCAAATCTTCCTGAAGTTCCTAGTTGACAGTCCTGCAGCAGCTTAGGCCTTACAGAGATAAAAATTTCATTAATTCATTAAAAAATCATTTGTAGAAATGACTTTGAAGAAATTTTATTTCTTTGCCTGAATATTGTAAAAGGCTGTTTGGCAAACAAAGGCATAATCAATGCTCATCTTTTGTTTTGCTCACTGGCTTTGGGGTCGGTGAGCTATGATCCTAAGAGCATTAATTTAGAGTCACAGAATCATTAAAATTGGAAAAGACCTCTAAGATAATGTTATCCAGCCATCTGCCTACCACCAACATTGCCCACTAAACCATGTCCCTTAGTACTACATCTACCCTTTCTTTAAACACTTCCAGGGATGGTGACTCCACTACCTCCTTGAGAAGAAAGATTTGCCTAGTACCCAACCTGAACCTCCCCTAGTGCAATTTGGGGCCATTCGCATCTCATCCTATCATTGTTACCTGGGAGAAGAGGCCAACTCCCACCTCACCAGAACCTCCTTTCAGGCAGTTGTAGAGAGCAATAAGTTGTAGAGAGCCTCCTCTTCTCTAGACTGAACAGTGGGCTTGATTCCCTTGATGTCCTGCATATGCCGTGTGCTAGCACTCATGATGATCTATTTCATAACCTTCCCTGGCACTGAGGTCAGGTTGACAGGCCTGCAGTTCCCCAGATCCTCCTTATGACCATTCTTTCAATAAGAGTCACATTGACAAGCCTCTCCGAGGACCTCTGATAGATGGTGGAAAGCAGCTTGACTATCGCCTCCACCAGCACTCTCAGGTAGATTAAATACATGAAAATAATGAATTGAGAACCTCAGCCTTTTCCTTATCCTCAGTGGTCACGTTCCCTGCTGCATGCAGTAAAGGATGGAGATTCTCTTTAGCTCTACTCTTACTGTTAATATACCTGTAAAAACACTTTTGTTGTCCTTAACCATACTGGCCAGGTTGAGTTCAAGCCGGGCTTTTGCCTTTCTAGACTTCTCTCTGCATATCCTAGCAATTTCCTTGTACTTTCCTTGATTTGAACCCACAGCTTCTCTTCACTTTTACTAGTGTAGGCCTATGTGGATCAAAAAGAATCTGAACATTTTAAAAATCTAATAAACGGATGTTAAATTCAGCCTAAGAAAGCAGGTTTTGAAGAGAGAACTTCAGTGAGTTCTCTTTATGGCCATTCCTTCTCTGGTTTTCTGTGAGAATGTAACTGCTATATCATGCCCTAGTTATGTGCTCTTTTGGAGAGGAAGTAGTGGATTTCAGAACACCATCACAGGAATTCAGGAAAATATGTCCCCCAGGCTACTACTGTATTTATCAGGTGATAATCAAAGGTAAGTGTAGTGACCTGCCTTCTAGAAAAACCTCGAAACAGTAATTAGAGCCTGCAGTAAGGCAAATGCTGTTTGATTCTTTGCATGCAAGACATAAATTACTAAACTAGACTTTCTGTGGTGTTCTTGCCTTGTTAAATCTTGCATCATTTTGAGTGGCGTTTTGTGCCTCAGCATTGCTTTCATAGTGGTTGTTTTAGAGTAACTGCAGCAGCAGCTGTCAAGCACAGGCTGGTTGTTTGGTTTGAAGTATTAGATTTTCTTTATTTTGGTCATTTTAGCTTTTCTCTCAATGCTTGGGAGACTTCAGGAAGAGAATGGGATTTAAAATGTTGATCATGTCTTTCTCTATGTTTTTTTGTCTCTTTTTCATAGTTTTGCACTTGTTTGACACAAACTAGCTGAGGGATGCTTATGCAGACCTTGTGAACGGGCAGAGTAAGACAGAATATTTCATACTTCTAAGTAACAGAGGGAAGTCACGCAGGGGATGAATAGAAACTTGCTTGTTTTTCATTTTTTCATCAGCTTTTCTCCTAACCAGCCTTTTACGGCCTCACAGCTGTTCTCTGAGGCCTGAGACTCTGTCTCACCTTCCTGGCTGTTCCTCTGGGACCTCAACATGCAGTTGAGATTTTGCTCATGTCCCTCCTTCTTATTCCTGGTTTCCCACTCTTGCGTAGGTGGTTGTCCTGCTACTTTGCTGCTTTCCTAGCAGTGGTGAACAACAAATAACAAGAAAAGGAAAAAATTCCCTACTGTTTGTCACACAAAGGCTTTCCATTGATACTGATCTTATAAATAACTTGAATCTTGATCAAATGTCAAAACCAGTATACCTGAAATACAACTGAGTGAGTTCCAGTTGTGACAGTTGACAAGTTCTGAACAGAAACAGAGTTAGGCAGGATTTCTGACCTAAAAAATGTCAACGTGTCTTAGAAAGCATATGATTAAATCTGTTTTGATTAGTATTATTGCTGAAAATTGTGGCACTGGGAATAATAGAAGGCAGAAGTTAATGCTGCCTGCTTGAGGAAATGTCACTTGAGAACTGTGGGCTGTTTTTCTCAGTCATGGCATACCAGTACTTCTTTGTTAGTTTTATTTATTCTCACAGAATTGTTTGACTTGAATGAGACCCTTAAGGGCCGTCTAGTTCAACTCCCCTGCAGTGAACAGGGACACCTACACTAGATCAGATTGCTCAGAGCCCAGTCCAGTCCAACCTTGAATGTCCCCAAGAATGGGGGCACCTATTACCTCTTTAGGCAACCTGTCTCACCATCCTTACTGTAGAAAACTTTCTTCTTATATCCGATTGAAATCATCAATCACAGAATCACAGAATTGTAGGGGTTGGAAGGGACCTCCAGAGATCATCGAGTCCAACCCCCCTGCCAAAGCAGGTTCCCTACAGTAGGTCACACAGGTAGGCATCCAGGCAGGTCTTGAACATCTCCAGAGAAGGAGACTCCACCACCTCCCTGGGCAGCCTGTTCCAGTGCTCCGTCACCTCACTGTAAAGAAGTTCCTTCGCATATTTGTGCGGAACTTCCTATGCTGCAGTTTCCAGCCGTTTCCCCTTGTCCTGTCTCCACTCACCACTGAAAACAGTCTGGCCTCGCCATTCTGCCCCCCACACCTTAGATATTTATAGACCTGGATCAGGTCCCCTCTCAGTCTCCTTTTCTCAAGGCTGAACAGACCCAGTTCACTCAGCCTTTCCTCATAGGAGAGATGCTTCAGGCAATGTTCCAGTGTGAAACCAGTGTGAAACCATTTCCCCTTGTCCTATGACAATAGATGTTGCTGATGTCCTCTTCTTTCTTATAGCCTCCCTTTAAATTCTGAGAGGTTGCTCTCAGGTGTCCCCAGAGCCTTTTCTTCTCCAGGCTGAACAGCCTCAGCTCTCTCAGCCTGTCCTTGTAGATTCCTATTCTTTGATATCTACTCAATTTCTAACTTCTCTTTAATTAAAAAAAAAAAAAAAAAAAAAAGGCTACAGAGTTCATCTCTTCTCTAGGTTCATCAGTATCCATTCCTCATCTCTATTCATATCACACAGCTTTGAACACAATTTATTAAATTTATTTTTTGGAGGAACTTTATGTTTCTCCAAAATATATGAAACTTTGTCTGAAGCTGCTAGTTTCACTGCAGTGGAAAGCAACACCATCTTAGTATCATCACAAAAGATCCAGCAATATCTGTGGCACTGAGTTCTAATCAGGATGTCCCACCTCTAATCTAGCTCGGTAAGGACAAGAGAGCTGTGGTAGCACTGAGTTCTTGTAATGCCTTTATGGTTTGATTCTTTGAGATAACAGGGACAATTGCTGCTATTAAGTTAAAACCCAGGAAAGTGGAGAGTGCTTGTTCCTTTTCTTGTTCCTTCAGCTGAGTCTGTACTATGGCGAACTCTCTGCTTCAAAGAGCAGTTGCCTGGTCAGTCTGTCTGCTTTGCTGCACTCACTGCAGCAGCAGAAGCACAGCGTAGCCATGTCAGGAGCTAAGCTAGTCCTCTTAGCAACCTGGAAGGATGAGTCTTGGCAGAGCTGGGTGCTGGAGAGCCATGGCTAGCAGCTTCTTATAGCGGAGCTGTGACCTCTGCAGTGATTTACTGTTGTACTTAAGAAGAGCTTGCCACAGAGTGCACAATTCAGACCAGGGCTTGGGACCAGAACTTGAATTGAAGGATTCAGGTAGGCCCAGAACAAAATCAGGATTTTCAAAATCAGGATCAGAACAAAAATTTCAGGATTTGAGTCATATTTTCTTCACTACTCCAAGCAAACTTTAATACCTTTCGCTTTCATCTGGTGAGTCCAGAAAACTGTTCTAAGTGAGCTGTCATTACATTACCAGAAGTAATTTTTCATCACTACAGACATCATTTTAGCTCAACTGTTATGTGACGTAAACCTTAACTTATCATTTCAGTATCTTATAATTAATCAATTTCAGTTCTGCTGTTACAGTATTTACCTTGCTGACTTGCACATATCCATCTTTACAGGATGGCAAGTTCTGCACTGAAAACTTGCATCAGTTTCATGAAGGCAGCACTAGAAATGTCCCAGAACCCATGGCTTGCACAATACTGCAAGTGTACTTCTTCTTGTAACATAATCTTCCAGTTGCTTAGGGCAATGTTTACACCATTAAAGTGAATTCAGAAACATTGTCTCAGTAAACAGGACAAAGTACTTAAGAACTTTTTGTGCACTCCAGCAAGTGGGATAATATTTATCTTCTGTATACTTTTGGCCAGAAGAGAATTGGATGTTGATGTCCCGAGACATCTGTGCTTGATACATTTGTTTCGTTAGAAATTCATTGCAAATCTGTTGTTTTAATGTACCTATGCCAATTGTTTTTAACAATTTTTAGAGGAACATCCTTATTTATAGCTCAAACAACCATAAAAGAAATGGCTTCACTTTAGGGTTGAATACTTCTGAAGATGATTGTGGATTTATACAAGAACCATGTTACCACAGACATCTTGGGAAGCGTGACAAAAAAATAAATAATCATCTTTGCAGTTTTGATAATCTCTGGAAGAAGAAAACAGGGAAAATGAAGTCTTTCAAACAGTCTTTGTGATAAAAATACTAAACAAGGTCTATTTCTTATTTTTTGAAAGAACATGTTTTTGTTGGAATCATACAATGGGAGAGCTTTTCCAGAGCTGTCTTAACTGCCCCCTTTTTAATGACTGTAGTTCTGGATCTGATTGCTTTTTTTTATTATTAAAAAAAAGTAAATACAAAACAGTATGGAAACGAATTGGAGGATAGGTATTTGCCTATGAGATATATATATTATATTATATATATATATGTGTGTGTGTGCATAGTTATAGGCTAATGTTGTTAAGGTTAACTGCAACTATTGGAAGAATTCAGTGAATGCTAATTTCTCAAAACTGTACATCAGTCAAGCAATTACTTCCCTATCCCAAAGAAGTAACCGCTTCTCACACCTCCATCCTAGCCCTCGAGTCATGTCTTGGAGGCACTCTGCTGCTATTTGCCGATTTCCTTTCTGCCTCTGGAAGGTGCCTTAGAGTTTACAGGGGCTGGGCAGGGCACAGACGTTTCCCTGGAAACAAACAGGACTAGACTGCTGGAGTCATCTATTTTTATTTTTAATTTGCCAAGCCTGGCAGGTCAGATAGTCCCAGGACTTGCAGAATTTCTTTCACTTTATGGTTTTAAAATTGCAAACAACTTTGTAATCAAAACTTATGAAGGAGGAATACTGGTGTTTGCCAGACTGCCTCACTGGACTTAAATTTTATGTTCATTGATTCAATAGGCTATTTAAAAACCTTGCTTACACTGAGGTGGATCTCTCCTGACCTCTCTCTTTGTGATAAAGGGATTATTGATGGTCTCAGGCCATAACTCCTTATCTAGTTCGAGGGTGACACAGCACCATAGTCCTACAGGGTCAGTTACAGTCACACAAGAGGAAAAGTGGCAAAGTGCAAGGACTCCTTCTCCCCTGCCCAGCTATTACTGGAAGAAGGACCATATGTTTGCACACAGTCTGTGCCTTCCCATGGCTTTGAGTCATCCCAATGCGGTGTAGTTCCCAGTTTATTCCTCATTAGCTAACATGGAGTAAGGACTTAAACTTGCAGTGACAAGATTAAATTTGTCACACCTTGTGTTCTGGAAAACTCACTTAAAGGCCTTTTTAATAAACCTGTTTTGTAGTACACACAGACTGATTGCAGACATGTCTTGAAAGTAAATTGATGGCGGTGCTGCTGAAGGTCTGATGAGGTCTTTTGAGCCTGAAATTCACCTGCCTATCTTCCTCAATGTAACACATAGCACTACTGAAGCCCCTGTGTCTCTACAAACCATCTCTGCTTAAACTAACTTGGAATCCTAAATAAGTGTCTTAAATCCAAATCCTTATGGTCACAGCCATATAACTATAGTTTAGCAAAGCAAATGGATTGTCAAGTGCTTCTATTTAAAAAAAAAAAAAAAGTTTTGTTTTTTTCCTCTGTGCTGAGTCATTGCTTACAAAGTTAATGTGGTCATAAAAAAAATACTTGTTACCAAAGTAATAGTCATATTAATTTTCACACGGTCAGTACTAAAGCCCTCTGACTGGCCAGCAGTGCAGTATTACCCATTCAGTAACATCATTTATTTTCACTTATTGTGAAAACTCTGTTTTGCTTTGGTCAATGCCACAGTTTTGAACCCCTGAACTCACCCTGTTGTTTTCAGATTTCAGACTTATGAAATCCATTTTAATTCTTGGTCTGTAAAAACTGAGGTTAGTGAAGTAATTCTGATTCCACATTTAGTCTGGAAGTAAAAGATCTCTTGTGTAAAGATTCTGTTAGGCTGACAACTGCACTTTCCGTTGCTCTTGCTCTTTCTCCCAGTGCCATTTCATACTAGCCTCAAAGTTGTTCTGTTTCAATGGCTCCGTCTGTCTATGGTCAAAGGCAAAGGATTGAACTGATTCAAAATCTTCTTTCTCCAATAAGAATGCATGGGCATTGTCTTGTCTGTGTAGTTGTGCCTGCTGCTATGGCTTCCTATGTTAGGTTCCTCTGTAGATCAACTACAGGTAGCTGTAGAAACTGTTTTTCTTCTTCAAAGTCAGAAGAGCATCCATAATTACACATTTTCCAGTTCTTAAATAACCCAGTTTTTCTGGAGTACTATCTTGAAAGTTTTTTTTTTTTTTTTTTAAGTCTACAGAGCATGAAGAAAACATAGGTATATCTGATACTCACTTCTGTGCTATGCTTAGCCAGTCCAATATAATCACTGAACCACACCAGCATTGAAGCATTAGAGCATTTCATGATTTGTCTGTGGTTGTAATATGCTTGAGTCATAGAGCCACGGTTTCTGATGGATAGTTCCTATTTGTACATAAATAGCCACCTATATATATATATATACACACACACACACACACACAGTATTTATCCAAGAGTTATGTAATAAACACTGTTCAGCCTGAGTAATGAAGGGCTGTCCCTGTGTGGCATTATATTTGCATTCTTGATGCTTGTGAGTAAATGGGGTGGCAAAACTTGAATCTTGGCTCTAAGTTCTGCAGGAGCCATGAATGAATCATACAGAATTACCCTCGGCAGCACAGGAGGACCTGCTTCAGGTGCCGTAGCAGCAAGTGATTTATGTAGCAATGTCTGAAAAAGCCGCTAGCTCTCAGCCCTGCAGTGAGGTTTCATGTGGCAGGGCATGATGGAAACGTGGTACTGCAAGTGGACAGTGCGATTGGCAAGGCTGAGCTGCAGCTATAGGGCAAGGCAGATGCAAACCTGCATTGACCCAATGCAGACTGTGGGCTCCGTCCTCCACCTTCACACCCGTGGACTTCCTTAGCTCTCTGCTAAGTCAGTCTAAGCTCTCAGAATATGCTCTGCATACTGGTGCGTTTCATGCTTGCTTCAAATTCAGCCCCATTGTATTTGGAGGAACAGATATGATTTTCCTGGTCATAAATGTCCAGGTTTGAACATATTTTCCCCATAAGGCAGAAATTTCTGCTGCGAAGTTTTTAGGCACAGCATGGGTTATTATTTTGTGTGGTATTTTTCCTAGCCTTTGTTCCAAGATCTGATTCAGCAGAGGTAGCAGAAGGAATCACTCAGCCTCTGCATATCTCTGTGCTCAGTAATCTACATATGGTCTACAACATGCTACCCCTACATTATTACGTAGTCCCCTTCAAGGCAACATTGGTCATTTGCCTTTGCTGTATAAAAAGTCTCCCTCTGACTAGGAGGTGACAGTGACAGGCAGTCTGCCCTGTTTTGAATCCCATAGGTTACCATTGAAGTGGTGGATGGCCCTGATTCAGAAACTGACAAGGACCTTCAGAAAGAGAACAGCAAGCCTAGCTGGCCAGTCTCATCACCTGACTGGAGAAACTGGTGGCAGAGGTCCTCCACCTTGACTCGCATGAGCAGTGGTGACCAGGACTACAAGTATGACAGCACTACTGAGGACAGCAACTTCCTGAACCCTCTCGGTGGGTGGGATGGTCATGCACCCAGTCACCGGACATTTGAGTCCAAGGAGCAGTCAGAGTATGGTAAGTTTGTGTTCCAGGCCTCTTATGGGCATCTTGGGATTGTAAAATGAGTTTGGGGGAAATGAGAATGGTGAGGCATTGCTGAAAGTAGGCCAAACAAAATAGGATTTTTCAACATGTGGCTTTTGTTCATCAGCTTTTAAATACAAATCTGTGCAGATGCACAAGCTGTACTGTGGTAGCTACATTCCACTAGTAAGTCTATAATCTTGAAAATCATACCAGTTATCCCATAAGAGGGTCTTTTTTTAGTCCTAAGTGTGCTTTTTTTAAAAGCAAAGGAAGCAAGGTTTCGTATTTATTTTTAGAGTAAGGATAAGTACAAATTTAGAATCATGCAGTGGTTTGGGGACTAAAATGTAATTATTGGTTAAATAAGCAAGATCTAAAACATGGTAGTGTTTGGTGGATACATAAATAAGGAAGATGAATTATGTTGGTGCGTGTGTGGGGAGTGGCATATGCAGCAGGAACATTGTGTATTTGCGTGTGTAATTCTCTTCCAGATGTGTCATGGTGAAAACAATTGTTTTCAGCTTGTTGCATGAAATGGTTGCGGAAACTAGAAGCAGAAAGGAGATACGTTTGCACATTGCCCCACTAGGGTATAACTATGCGCATGAGAAAGACTCAAAGGAGGTGAATTAATATGTGCCTTTCAGGAGCCACAGGTAGATCAAAGCCTCTCTGTTTTTAGTACGTAAATAGAATTAGAGCAGGATTTCAAAGCCAGAGTATTTGTGGCACTTGCGCTGCAACAGCTAGGTACTGCAAAGTGGCTGTTGTGCATTGTTTCAGTCTTAACTTTCCCCTGCTTATGTCCTAGAGCCTTAACATTGGAGAGGGCCTTTTCACAGAATGGTGTATTTAAATGTATACATTTGTATTAAATTTTTGTGGCCAGAAGATTAAAGCCTATCCCTTCTTTTTGCACCTGTGTTTAGTTGTGGGCACACTTTATTGCCAGGAACTCATATATTGGGTGGGTATTATTTTAGGCAAAATAACATTGCTTTCACAAATAATTGTGGTAGAATCAATAGGAACAATATATGTGTGCATGCATAGAGAGAGAGAGATTTAAAATAGGGAGAACAGGTTGAGGTCCAGAAGAAAATTCAACCTAATATGTTCAATAGTAGCTAGATAGTGTATGCTTTTTAATGCAGTATGAAGATGAGGTAGCCAGGCTTGCAAATTAATTAGAGCTCTTTATCATGCTCCAGAGCACCTTACTAATTGCAAGAAACTCTTGGCCTTCTTACTAATGTAAAATGTTGTGCTCTTCTGGCCTTTGCCAGGAGGATGTTGTAGCAGATAATGTCTACAGGGGGCTTCTATGCTATTTCCAGCCCCTCTCCATTATAATCTATGTTATATATAATCTATTCAGATTGCTCTAGTGCCCTCCTGTTGGTACATCCCAGAATTGGGTGTCATTGCACACAGACTGCAGGGATCATCATTCTGCCCACACCATGTTAGTGGGCACCTGATTCAGCAGCAGCTGTGTAAGAAAAGGAGGAAAAGCGCACAAGGTCCCTGCCACTAGGAACCTGTGTCTAGGCAGCTTACTAGGAGTGAGATATATAACCTTTGCATACTCCTGACAGTAAATGTTTAATAGCACCCTTCAGAGTTGTCTTCAGTCATTACATATGGTACAAATCAAGTAATGTGTTCTACTAACCAGCTCAGGAAGTCCACAGACAGCATGGCAGCGAAGGGGAAGTGGGAATCACATGTAGCATGGAGGCCTTTTCAAAGATCTGTCCCTGCATCTTGCCAGTGCCTACACGGTCAGCCTGTATCTATAGAACAGTCACTGAACTCACGTTTGCTTTGCTACTGCTATGAGCGTAGCCCAAAGGAGCAAAGCTACAAGCTACCATCGCAAGGTCAGTTGAGCACATGTAGATTACAGAGAACACTATTAAGCCAAGAGTCTGTAGTGAGACAAAGCTCAGCTGGTGGGGCTGAAAGGCAAGATGCCAGTTAGAATGGAATTGAACTGGGGTTGGTTCACAGGCTCCAGCTGGTGCCTTTCACAAGGTGGGATGTGCAAGAGATAATACAACAGACATAAGAGACTGGATCTAAGGTGCTCAGATTCTTAATGGTGGCACAAAATCTTGCAGACTTGCTACTGTTTATCTTGGCTGTTTACTAGAAGACAGTAACCTCATGTTTCCACTAAAAGGTTCCTCCTACTTACTTAGGAATCAGATTTGGTGCTATTTAATTATTTGTGTGGACCAGTACAAATTGCATGTAGTTCTTGGTGCCAGATGACTTTGTAGTTCCCTGCATTTATGGCAGTATTCTGGTAATATCTATTTCCTGTTTGAGGGGCAGAAGAAAAAAAAACTTCCAATTTTCAGATATGACCCTTAGCCTCTCACAGTCCAACATTCATGGTATCCTAAAAGTTAATTAGGTAAGTATTGTTGTGCTATTGCTGTGTGTTTTGAAGAGAAGAAAAACGAAATGCGATTTATCTTCTAGTGTTAGTTTGTGATCAGAAAACGTATTCCTATGTGCAGGGAGATTATGTGAGTAGATGTGTACTGTTAGTCCATGACCCAGTTTTGCAGCTGAGGAGTTTCAGTTGCCAAAAGGTCAAAAGAGAAAGGAAATATTTTTTCAAATAATGCTGCATGCATTTCCCTGAGGAGCATCAAGTGTGAAAACCATTTAAACAGCAGGCTTATGCCTGGCACTTAGCCCGAGCTTCAGGTAGAGACATCTGGATTCCATTCTTGCTTTGCCTTCTAATAAAAAACACTACACACAGTAGTTTTGGGTAGTAGGAGTTTTGTTTCTTCATTTCCTTCGTCATCTTTGTTTTTATATAGACTACATTGATGGTGATGGAGACTGGAGCCCATGGTCCCTTTGTAGCGTCACCTGTGGGAGCGGCAGTCAGAAGCGGACGAGGTCCTGTGGCTATGCCTGCACTGCCACCGAGTCACGGACCTGCGACAGGCCAAATTGCCCAGGTTTGGCTGTGCTAGCAGAAGGGCGATGCGAAGGGGTGGTCAAGGCAGGGGAAGAGTCCTTCTGTGCATAAAGCCAAGGCCCCGTTGGGTCTTTGGCTAGGTAGGAGTTTTGTTGGGAAGAGAGAGATTGATTCTCAAGGGCATTTATGAAATGGCAGGTTCTTTGCTAGTAATAATATGTCTCCAGATACACTTTACCATCCCCTGAGACTTGAGAGACAAATACAGGCTTTTTTTAGATTACGGCAGTCATTTTTGTGCCTAGTACGTTTCGTATTCCAAAGGGTGTAATCTACTGTCACGTAACAAATTTGTGTTAATTTTAGGATTTCAAAATAGGCATGCTGTTGCCTTAGCGAGCCCACATTTTGCTATGCAATGAGTGGACATGCCTTACTGAGAGCAGGGCTGAGTGCTCATAAAACTTTAAAGCTGCTACAGCAACCTTGTCTCATGATGTTCTTTAAACACTACTGTGGGTTTTTATTTAGGTGAACTTGCAATGTGGTGATGCAGTAGTTCATAGAATCATAGTCTTTTGAGCTGGGAAGGACATTAAAAAGTCAACTAGTCCAAATGCCCTGCAATGAACAGGGGTACCTACAGCTGGATCAGGTGCCTCAGAGCCCCATACAGGGGTGGGGTATCCACCACCTCTCTGGACAACCTGTTCCAGTACCTTACCCCTCTTACTATAAAAACCTTTTTCTTTGTAACCAATCTAAATCTCCTCTCGTTCAGTTTGAAACCATTTCCCCTTGTCCTATCACAACAGACCTTGCTGAAGAGCCTGTCCCCTTCTTTCTTATACCCCTCTTAAGATACTGAAAGGACAACAATGATGGAATATTTGTCATTTTGTTACTCCTAAGGTTAGAGAGAAGTGAAAACATGTGCCATGGTGGTATCACTACGCTTACTAAGTGATTCAGAAAGACAGAAATTGGTGGTCTGGTGTTTTTGGTGGGAAGAGAAATGTCAGGAGGGCTGGACTAACGGTTTAGGAACCTTGGTGAGGCAGTTGGAGGAGTTTCACTCACAGCTAGATGTGTACCTTCACTACAAGACAACTATTTCTAGGCAGTTCAGGAGAAAAATACTGCTGGATTTTTTTCATACATCCGAAAGCTTAAATCATAAGGGATTAAATCCAGAATACAGAACATAGCCCCCTGTTATATTTCCCAGTATTTATTACCAGCTAGCATCAAACTGGGGCAAGCTTGAAAGAACGTATTATGTCATATAACAGACCCCCAACGATCAGCAAGCAAAATATATTCACTCTTTGAGGCTGTGCTGACATTTTTAAAATGACAAGGGCAGAGCTCAGCTTCTACTGTTTATAATTCTAGCAGTGAATTACTGCCTTGTAATGGATTCTTGGGTATCTATTATTCTTCATCTGCTGCTGGAGTAAAGGCAAAATCATATGATAATTTTATTGAAAAGCTGCCTGAGGCTGTTTTGAAGTTTTGCAAGCCACTATTATGTCCCAGTTCAGGAGATCAGGAGAAAGTTCAGTGGAAAGAAGATGGATGGTGAGCAGACTTCATTATTAACTGTATAGTTATCATACATTGAAGAGCTTTCTGCTCTCTGTAGAGGGTTTTAAGTCAAGGGGAAAAAAAGAATAGTGTTCAAATGCTTCTTTGAAGAGATAATTGTTTTAAGGCTACATAACACAGACTGGGAAACATTAGGTTGCTAGGCAGGGTGAACTAAAACAGCACAGAAAGGATGCATGCTTCAGCAGGATCAAGTCATTTTCTGGAAATCCATTTGTCTCGCTCCTGATAGCGGACGCTTAGCTGGCAATTGCTGGAAGATCCTGATACTTTTATTCCATTACTTCTATAGCTGTGATACTGCTGCTGGAGCTGGGGGATGGGCTTGATAGGTGAAGTTATTTATCTCTTGGCTACTCACATTTCAACTCCTAGTACTAGGAACGACCAGCAAGTACAATTCTTGTAATAGCATCTTTCTTCCTTGCGCTTCCTGAAAACTGTATGCCCATGTACAGACATGAATTTATACACCTGTCTTCAGACACGTTGTTGTGATTTACAACATGACACAAATGTTGTTTCCCTAGTGCTTTATAGTTGCTGTCAGGAACTAATATTTATTTTGTCAGGCATTTGTATTATGTGCTTTTGAGACAATGCTGGTCAGATAAAGCTGATCAGGTGCAGTATGTGCGGATGTTCTACCTGAATTACTGGGAGCTGCTGGCAAGTCTTGAGTTTAGAAAGAATAGGACAACATTGGTTCTCCCATCCATCCCTACACTAGGTTCAAAACTGAACAATTTGCTGCTTAAGTATAATCTAAATTCTAAACTTTAAAAACTTTTTACCTTGGGGTTAAGCTAATTCTTTAAAACAGCAGTTAGTTTTGTAACACTCCAGATTCCATGTTTGTTATGCTTTGAAAGGAACACTCCCTCCAGCAACAACTTCAGAATGCTTCTTTGACTAACAAGGCAGGTTTCAGAATAGGGGGGAGGAGGAGGTGGCAAAGAGACAGTTGATTTTGTTCTGCTCTAATGGTAAAACACCATCACCATTAATGCGTTTTCCATAGGGATTGAAGATACCTTCCGAACAGCAGCCACAGAAGTGAGCTTACTGGCTGGGAGTGAAGACTTCAATGCTACCAAACTGTTTGAAGTGGGTAAGTCAACCTGTCAGTCAATCTTCCAGTAATGGATAAGAAACTTACTTGTTCTTTCCTGTTTTGATTCTCACTGCGAGTCCAACATTTTAAGTTTGTTGTAAAACGCATTGGTAAAAATGGTTATTTATTATCTTGCTCTTGTTTACACCATGGACCTACTCACTTCCATCACAGGCTTTCTTCTCTTAACAAATTTCTGTGCCTCTTTCACTGTGAAATTGTGAGTCTCTGTCCTAGTTCAGAAAAGAGCCATCTGTGTCCATACTAATGGATGGCAACAATCAAATGCTGTTTGGCATGGGAGATACTATAAAAGCAATTTAAATACAGCCATCACACTAAAACCAAAATGGCAATAACTTCTACAAGCACAAACAGCTTTTACAATGGTGTGTGCTGCAGTAGGACGAGCTAAAGTAATCTTTATAGGGCATGACTTTATACTTGGTCTATCTAAAATTCAGCCCACCTTTCTAACATTCTGATTCCATCCCTCCAATGAAACCATGCAGTGGTCGCTCTTAAATACTGGTTGCTGGACCAAACAGTGGTAACAACTAGGTAAACAGCACACTGCAGCACCTCCCTCCTGCAGTGCTGAAGCACAACAGTCAGTGACAGCTGGGAAAGGACTCTTTAAAGAGGCAGTGAAACAAAATATGGATCACTAAGTAAATATTTTGCAGGAATGGCTGCTGTAAGAGTTTTAGGTCCCAGTCATTGCATTACTCGAGTCCTGTCAAGTGTGGAGCAAGATGTGCAAATTCTCTTAAAGCCCACAGCATGACATGAACACCTTAAACAATGTTTTGGGTAGAAGATGATTTAATGGATTCTTTCAAGACTGTTGGGAAATAATAAAAGGCCAGTATTCAGTATACTACTAGACTAAGTCTATAATTCCAGTTATAAGTCATGACCTTGGTGCCATTAAGTATTCCCAATATAGAGACACTGTGATATTATGTCACATATGCCCTTTTAGAATATGAATAATTTCTTGATGCATTGGTGAGAAGTCAGCCAAGAAATATCCCTTTGGGAAGAGGAAGAGAGAAAAAGTTATTTGGTAGTTAAAAGGAAGACATAATTAGGGCTTAATAATAAACTTGAAAGTAATCCAGGCTTTGCTTGCCATCTTGCTGTTTCCAGCACAGTAAGAAAATCTTTCAACATCCAAATCTGCTGTTCTTACAAAGGTGAGTGTATAGACAAGAGCTTGAAATCAAAGACAGTCTTCAAAGCCCTGCACAAGTTCAGGGAATGCAAACTCCCAATTTCAGTTCTGTTGCTTGTAAAACTCTGACAGTGTCTCTTGTGCTGCATAGGGATACCAGAGGCTGGGCTAGAATTTGCCACGTAAAAGAAACATCAAGGATTATTACCTGGCATTTGTACTGCAGTTTAATTCAGAGTAGCATTGCTCGAGTCCCTTGAAGTCAGTCACCTGTTTGATTTCTTTATAGAACAGGACAGCCCCTTAACACACTGTAGGCAAGGCAGCAAGTTTTAGCTACTGCCCTTGGTTTCTTAAGCAAAGCACCAGCTGAACAGCAATGCTTTACTCATTTGTTATCAGATCATATCAATTGGGCTGCTGCATATCCTAAGCTTTCCCTTTCCTGCCCTTAAACAGATACTGATAGCTGTGAAAGATGGATGAGCTGCAAAAGTGAGTTCTTGAAGAAATACATGCACAAAGTGGTCAATGATCTTCCCAGCTGCCCCTGCTCTTACCCCAGAGAAGTTGCTTACAGCACTGCTGATATCTATGATCGGATTAAGAGGAAAAACTTTCGCTGGAAAGATGCAAGTGGTCCAAAGGAAAAACTGGAGATCTATAAGCCCACTGCACGGTACTGCATCCGCTCCATGCTCTCTTTGGAGAGCACAACACTAGCAGCTCAGCACTGCTGTTATGATGATAACATGCAGCTGATTACCAGAGGCAAAGGGGCAGGTACACCAAACCTGATCAGCATTGAATTTTCAGCAGAACTCCATTACAAAGTGGACATTCTACCCTGGATTATATGCAAGGGTGACTGGAGCCGGTACAACGAAGCACGACCTCCAAACAACGGGCAGAAGTGCACAGAAAACCCTACAGATGAAGACTATTACAAGCAATTTCAAGAAGCAAGGGAATACTGAAGAGGTTTTCCTCCTCTTCAGACAGAAAATAGCATTCATTTCCTGGATGCCAAAGAACTGATAACTGCTGCTGCACTATCTCCTTGACAGGCGCTGATCAGTTTCTTTATAATGAATGTGTATAGTTGTAATATAATACATAACTATTTTCATAGTGTGTGTAATTTATAAGCACATATCTCTCTATCTCACACACACCTATTTTTACATATGGACATACATAAAATTTGTCCCAGTAAGATTTTATTCTACAATAACATTCATTTCATAATGTGCATTTTCCTTTGTTCACCAACTATAATGTGTGAGAGGGGGGAGCGGGAGGTAGGGATGCAGCTGCCATCACCATCAGGACCAAGGCCCCAGCTGAAGAAGGCACATATTTAAAAGTTATTAGGAAGAATGGGGTTGAAAAATATACTCTTCCATATGAGAATGGTTTACAAGATTAATGCATCTACAGCATTTCTTTTCTCTTTAAGTGATTTCATGACTAATCATGTTTAAGAAAGGAAATTTTTTTTTTTTTTTTTTTGAATTTACTATAAACCCTCATCAGCAACTGGAATCTTTCTGTTTCAGGCCAAGTCCTCACTATGAACCTGGGGCAGGCCTGCAGCGAGGGAAAGTTGTGGTTTTTCCAGAATCAGCCCCAGGGCAGTGGTCCCAAAGCTCCAGATATGTAACTACAGCTGGCAGGGCCAGTGTCTATACTGGGGAGCAGATCTTCAAGGCAACTACCTGTAAGCTAAGCATGCATGTTGGAGGACTGAAGCCTGATATTTAAATATGGAGTGTTTATTTTTTCCATGATAGGAAAAGCAGAATATGCATTTCTAAGTAAGTTCCCTCAGATAGAGCATGCACCCAGCCTTTTTCTTCCCTTTTTACCATATGCTGAGGGCTCAGTATCCTACAGAAGAAGCAGTTCCTTCAAGAAGCTATCTGGGAGGAACGACATTGAGTTAAAACTACTTTTTTTTTTTCTTTTTTTTTTTCAAAAAAAAGCTAGCATTGTTTTTGTAAAGTATTTATTGAATTATAACAATAGCTAACATATGGAATGTGTCTCTAATGTGAAAGGCTGCAGGAACGCAATTGCCAAGAATGACTGTTGTTAGGTAGAGATTCACTTCCAAATTTTTATAAAGCACACGTTTACAGACATGACCCTGTAAAGAAGCAGCTGATACCTGCATTTTTATGAAAGATGAAGATTACACCATGGGTAAATAAATATTTACAGTTCCATCCCATAAAAGTCTGTCTTGCTGCACATCAGTAATGCTTTCATTTGGAAAGCTAAGGGTAAACGTCACTAGAGAGATGTGTATCTTCAGATTGCATGCTCTGATGCCCATATGAACTCTGCAGCTGGATCTGCACACAGCAGTAAAGCCAATCTTGCATTACAGTCAGTATTTCTTAACTAAAAGACTCAAGACAGCCACGAAAGACAACTCCTCTCACTCTATATGTGAACACATACATACGTACTGTAAATCTCTGCACTAGCTCTGCAGGCCTTTCAGGTACAAGCTGATTGCAGCTTCCTGGGCAGACACATGCATCTCCTCCCAGCATACCTTATAGGTAAGAAGTCTGCTGAGTGTGGGAAGCATCAGGATGGTGGTCATCTGCCCAGGCGTCACAACTCAATGGGCTAAAAAGCAGCCCAGGCCTCAAACACCCACACTGACCAAAGGTGCAGGGTGTGCACTGCAAAACTACTCCCAGCCTGCCAGATCTACTTTAATAAGCTGCAAAGCCATAGCACTGCACTTATGCTCCAGATATCCAGAAACACAGCAGCCCATGCAAAGCTACTGCACACACGCCACAACTAAGGTACCAGCTGGGAATCTTGGCCAAGCCATCCGATTCCCCCCACACAGGCTCAAGCTGGAGATCCAGGGAGACGTGGCTATGTTTTAGCACTAACTGGCAGCAATGCAACATGGCTAGTTGAGCAAGAGGGTAAACATGGGGATTGCCCCTTAATTTTTATATGAACCAGGTTTTGTAAATTCTTGCAAGGATGTATGAAGGATCCCTTAGCTAACTGAGCCAGTTAAATTGATAGCAGATGGATGAAAAGCAAAAGCAACTCCAGGATCAGTCACTTGCTAGAGGGGGCAGGTATTTTCTGCAGTATGGCAGTAGAGACCCTACTTTTTACTTCACTTAAGTGTGTGGGTGAACAACAGGCTCAGGTTTCTCTGGGAGGGCAATGAGAGGGCACTCACAATTCTTGAAATATAAAACATCCCTTCATTTCAGAGATTAGTAAATTATGGTGCTATTGAGAGATGTTACTGTACCATTGAAACCAAACATAACAAATAAAGTGTCAAGGAAGAGGACAAATTATTCTACTAAATGAAATGATGCACAACATTTCAAGTCTTCCCACTCCCTTTTTGCCAAGGCTGGAAGCACTAAAGGAGCTGAAACCGCTGATAAGGACATACCAGTTTTTTTTTTGAAGCATTAGTCTTGGAGCAGAGATCAAGAGAGGACTCACACTTCTGCAGTCTTAAGCAATAGTCTTCGTTAAAAACAAAGCTAGTACTGTTTTGCAATAAATTATATCCTTTCAGGACAAGGCTGCTTTTTCCTTTTCCAATTTTTTCTCTTAATTTAGTGTCCAACAACTGACACTATACCTGGAATGACTTGGAACAGCAGAATTTAGCTAAGTGCTGGAGATTTCATGGCCAAATTTGGCTCCATCTCCTGAATTCCATCTTGAAATGAGACCTTAGGAAGACTTCACAGTCACCCATTTCCAGGTAAAGGCCAGTAGTTAACAGAAGCTGCTGTCATGTTTCTGAGATAGCACAGAGCAACCATATTTGAAGGCCCAACCAAAGACAGGAGGGGAATTGAAACAAGCAGAACTACACAAGGCTTACGGTATCAATGAGAAATCTTCATGGCATCTACAGTGGCCATCCCAAAAAGAAGCTTAATGTACAGATTTTACATCAGTTTGCTATATCTGAGCAGTTCTATTTACTTATTTCCTCTCAGCAAAATCAGAGCAAGGTATTATCTCCTGGCTACTCATTCCTCTGTGCTACCTTTCCCTTGAGCCAGCACAGTTGTTGGCGCACTAAAAAGAAAAAGGGCAAGTTATCCTCATTACCTGTAATGCTGATCTACCAACAGAGAGATCACCGCATGGCCTCAGAGCCAAGCTGGCAGGAGTGCCTGAAGCTGGCACTGCTGCTGAGAAAGATGTGTGGCACAGTGCCCTGGGGCAGCCATAAATGGATCGAGTGTGTACCTTTGATGGTTAAAAGGATGAGCAGGCCTGCCTTCACATTGCCTGAACAGCTGCTGAACAGCTAAATTCCACTAACATAACCCGCAGTGATGCATATGGGTTATAGGACAATATAGCGAAAAACAAAAACACACACATTCACAGATCCCTGCAGTTCTACGTTTCTTACCAGCTGCATTTTCCCCCCCTGCTGTGCAGAATGGTTTGCACTGTCAACACAACACATTCTTCAGAAAAATGCCAGGGAGTTCATAAGACCGCCTTTTCCATTCATAGCCTTTTCATTGTGATTGTAGGATTGGTTTCAATGAATAACTGATGCACCTGACACTTCTCCTAAGTGGGGCCTGCTGACACCAGCAATGATTCTGTCACTTCTGCATCCCTAGCAGTGATGCCCTCCTGACTGTTTTACAGGCAAGGTGGCTCCTGCTGCCCAGGGCTGGATGAAGCTTTGGGTTTGTCACAGCTGTGGCTGGCACAACCAGTGGGACAATAGCAGAAAAGGTTCTTGCCCCGTGTGAGGGGCAATGGCACAGGCAGTTTCTCTCTTTCTAATCACAGAGGAAGGTACAAAGCAGAGAACAAGCTCCAATCTCACCCTGCACTTGTGCAAGCACAGCCACATCCCTTCCCCTGCCCACACTTACAGCACAAGGGCAGGAGTGCACTTGAGGGGGAGACTAGCAGTAAGCACCAGCATAAGGAGGACAACTTGTCCACAAACCAGTGTGAGTGCAGTGCTGTCTGGCTGCAAGGCACTGATGTGACAGCTGACAGAGCATGTGTTTTTCTATCACCAGTTTCTCCTTCCTTTGTAACTTTTAATGGAAAAATGTGTAGGCAGTTTCCATTATGCCTGCACTGTTCCAGACAAATTAAGGGGTTGGCTAAGAAACCACTGGCTTCATATTTCATAAATAGTACAAACACATGCGTATATTTTTATATGAATGTAAATGTACTTAGGTTATCCTCTAGCCACACACTTTATAGCAGCACGTTGCAGCACCTGCAGGAACAGACCTTCGGAAGAGCCCTTCTTCTCTTGGGGTGTTCAGGGAATGGGGCTTTTTTGCATGAGGGAGAGCTTCCCAGGGAGAAGCCATTCCCCTGGCAGAAGCCATTCTTCAGCCCTGCCTTTTCCTTACTGAGCAATGGCTTTCTTCATTTTTCCTTCTCAGCAGCAGTGCTAAAGCCATGTGTGCCTTTTATGACTGCGCTGATTTTCTATCAGTTTAAGAAATCATGCATACTTTCCGTAGTTACTCTCTATCACACAAAGGTTGTGGGAGGGATTTTAGCCACAAAGAAGATTTTCGTTCATTAAAATGCACAATTTATACTCAGAATGTCACATTCTAGAAGCAATAGCTATATGGTACAGGTTAGATCAACCAAATCTAACAACAAATTATGGTGGCTCTAGCTTGAATATTTCCTTTTTAAGCCTGGGCAAGCAATACTACATGTGTTAAATATCATAATTTGCTGAGAGGCTAATAGCCTGTGTTAAAAAGGAGATGAGAGCAGCTAATCCGGCTGCACAAGGGGTGATCAACAAGGCCATGGAGTCCATCCAACACTTCCAGGCTGGCAACAACACTGTGAGCTGCAGAAGTCTTTTTAACCAGAGCTTAAAAAGGAAAGAACAAAACTGATAGAAAGCAGGAGATTTTTCTTCCCAAGTATAACCACCCATTTCTCCAAAATAACTCCTTTTGCAAATTCTCCCCAGCTTGCAGTGGGCATATAGCTGCTCTACAGCATCATCAGAGCCAGAGCCCCCAGAGAAGCTCATCAGCTGGTGGTGAGGCAGAGAAAGCAAACAGCAGCAGCCATCACCACACAGGACATCCACACACCTAAGGGTGCCACGAGCTGCTCCCTATACCAGTAATCCCTGCTTTCTGCTTACAGCCCCTTATTCAGGTAAAGCCAGAGGCCGCACTCAGAGAATACTGCTGTAACGAGCTAGGACCTCGTCTGGAAAGCTGCTCCAAAAGACACCACATCACCCTGTTTGCTGCTCACATGTGAGACAAGTAACACTTTTTCACCCTATCACTACCTTGCCACTGTATCAGCTTTGCACATCCCATCTGTAAGCTCTCTGACCGTGCAGATCAATACCACCACAACAGCCACTGCATTGCCCTGATTTATCCTGAGACACTTCTCATGCCAGATTTTTTTTTAATTTTAATTTTTTTTTTTTTAAGTGGGAAGAGGCTTTACCAGACCTCGTGCTGAAACCAGTGTATCTCTTCTGGCTGAATCCCAGCAAAGAGGGTGCTTCATACACAGGGGCTCTTTCATGTTTGATTGCTGGACTAAGACCACATTGTTACCCAGCTCAAGGGAGGGGGAAAGCAAAATCCATACAAATCAGGAAAGCATTAGGTAAATTTAGCTAAGAATGCATCTTCTTACCCAATGGAGCACTATGCTGCTTCATTTAATTAGCCTATCCACAGGAAGTGAGAAAGAACAACCCGTGATACCCTCTGTGCTGAGAGGAGTACAGTCCCTGGGCAAGTCAAAAAAGGAGAATGTAGTTTAAGTCTCTCCAAATGCCAGCACTCGTTCAATAAAGAAACATGCATACATGAAAGTAATGTGTGAAAACAAACCCTGACTGATGAAAAATATTTGCACACTGTCTTTGATGACACACAGCTGGGAGGAAGTTTTCATCTGCTAG